GTTTGTATCCTTGTCAGTTAGGAGACCAGCTAATAAAAATACGATTTATGAATTTTTTGGTCAAATTTACTCATTTAGTGAAGGATGTGAACAAAGGCAGAACAGCCAAATTTTTTGAAGGGAACGATGGAGATCTATTTGTGCGTAGGTTTCAATGAGAATTTGAGAAGTTTTTTTTTTTTTTAATTTTAGGATCTTTGAAATGGTTAATGAGCAGCAAGAGCAATATATCCCCGATAATACTTTGTTATATTGCTAGTGATCATAATGAATCTAGCAATTTTCAGAAAGTACCTAATTTTTTGCTTTGCAATTCCATTTTGTTAAGGGTTATTATTGCAATAATTTTAGTAAATAATCCCTTGTTGAAGTAGATAGCCCCCAAGAATGGAATGAAAGTATTATCTTCCATTGTCAATCTTGAAGACTAGAATTTTAGTATTAAAAATTTGTTTATTGTAATTGGTAGGATTTTTTTAAGATGTGACAAGTCTTAGATTTTAGTACTTTTAGTGTAACTATTTGCAAATGATATGAATCACCTAGCCTTTGAGATATTGATAACTTAAGAGATGGTCTCCAAATATCACTATGAATAATAACAAAAGGCTAAAGTTTCAAATGAGATTGACTTATACGTTTTATTTATCAAGAAGTGAAAGTTTTTTAAGGTATATAAAGTTGGGATGACTAAGATGGATATGTCATAATATAATCTCACTCTCTTTGGAGTAAAATATATATTGAGCATATTTTATTAACAATTGAATATTTTCTTCAGCATTCAAGATGTAGAGTCTAGCATTTATCCTAACATTGTTAATCATCCTTTTTTAGTCCACATCCTAGAATGGATACCGAGCGGGAAAAATTTAATAACAGCTCATATTATTAGTGATTTTATTGGTAGATTAAAGATTGCATAACATTTTGAAAACTCATAGGATCAAATTTTGAACCATGAAACTAGCGATTTTAGTCGTCCTAAATATTTTTCCTAAGACTTCATAAAAAAATTTATTTAGTCTAAGAAGAAATTTTTATATCATGTTGATACGAATCAATGCAATAGGGTAGTTTAGTGATTCTTATGGGTCATTTATTGCTTTATTTATTCCTTCTCAAGTGTAATTTGGGTATTTGAAAGTAATAAATGAAGAAGCTTAGGCAGCTCTCTCTCCCTCCCTCCTTAATGATTACTTAAAGTCGTGGCCATCCTTGAGTTGCCTAGCCCTTCCCCTGCAGTTAATCTCTGGAGGTTTAAGGATCCTCAAATTACCTTGTTATCATATTTTATTGCTGTATTTATAGCTTCTTTAAAGATACACACCTGTTGTCAATATCTGATAAGGGTGATGGAGAAACCCAAAGTTTAGAACCATGCTTCCAAAACCTGAGCATATTAGATGATTTAAAAGTTTATGATCAAATAGTCAAATCCGATGATTAAATTAACTCTAAAAAGGAAGATAAAAACAGTGAAACCCAATTCGTTCCGTCCCATTACAAAAATAGTGGAAAACTTCACAAAGGCAAAATTAAAGCAACTCAAAAAAGCCTATCAAAGTTTGCTAGACCTAACGAGCTTATGATTTACGTGCTCTACTATTGATATCTCACTACATGTAAGATCTTTTTGAAATCAGGATCAATATATCAAAGAAATACCTACAAATATATAGATCAGGTAAATTCAAGTTGACTCAACACCATCATTTTCATCAATAAATATTCTCCTACTTTTCTTTGTAATCTTAAGAAGATTTCTAGTAATTCTATTCATAAGGCTAAAACCTTGTGTGTCAGCCATCACGAGGCCTAAAAAATGTAGCAAACCCAATATTGTTCATACATCACATTAGTAATTAAGATAGATGCTCTCAAAAAGATAAATTCATGATGTCCCTCACAACAACAACAACAACAACAACAACAACATCAAGCTTTTATCCCACTACATAGGTTCAGCTACATGAATTCTTTTTCTTCATTGTGTCCTAATAAGAGTTAAATTCTCATTTAAATCTAATAAAGAAAACTCATTTCCAATGTTTAAAATTGCGTATTCGGGTATTGAGGAGTTTTTTATTCGTGAGGCGAGGCGTAAGCCTCAAGGCGTGAGCCTCAAAATCAAAAGATTGCGTAAATATAAAATGATAAATTTTTTATATACTAATGAGTGAATAATATAAAACATATAAAAGCATAAGATATGAAGTGAAATCAAAATATCTCAATAATAAGACAACATGAAATATAGTTCAATTCAAAATTCTATCTTTCCAAAATCTCAATATTCTTTTCATTAACATATAATTCCAATTTCCAAAAAAAAAACAATGACATATCACATAAGAACTCATAAGTCATCAACACTATCATCACTTTCCTTCATTTGAATCATCATTATGATGAATTGCTCTCTCCCCTTCCTCCTCTCCTATAGAGTCCAATGTCAAGCATTTACTTCAAGATTTATGTAAGTTTTAGTATATATAGCATGAGGCGTAAGACTCATGCCAGTGAGGTGAGGTGGGCCTCAACCAAGTTAAGGCGCAAGCCTCAGAAAAAAAACTCAAGGCGTAAGCATCAAGGTGTTTTTTACTGGAATTGCACAAAGGCGAGCCTCATATTCCGCAATTTTAAACCATGCTCATTTCTAATATTTTCTAACCAAGTCTTTTCAGGTCTACCTCTACTTTTCTTAATAAAAGTCGAATCTAATACATCTACTCTCTTAACCGGGTCATTGGAAGGCCACCGTTTTATGTGACCAAACCATCCAAGTTAACTCTCTCTAATCGTATTTGCCATTGGAGCTACTCCAACCTTTTCACGTATATACTCGTTTCAATTTTTTTTTCTATTAGAGTAAAGCCCACTCATCTACCTGAGCATTCTCATCTTTGCAACACTTAACTTAATATTATGCCTCTTTTTTACTGGACAACATTATGCGCCATAAAACATTGCAAGTCTCACCATCTTCTTATAGAAGTTTCCCTTAAGTTTGAGGGGTACTTCTTGATAGAAAATACTTGAGTTCGCAAGTAACCCTAAGGGAATACTTGAGTTTGCAAGCAAACCTATCACTAATTGGAGGAAAACACCGAGAAAATAAGCAAAAACTGGGCGAAAACAGCCCCCAAAATAGTAAATTGCAATAAGGGAAACAAAGCACAACACACAAAAAGCAAGATATAAGTGATCCTCTACTCGAGAGGAGGATCAATCTCTCCCAATCTCTAGACGGAAGGTCTAGAGCCCTTAACCCTCAAAAGACTCCAAGAGACTCAAATTTAAGCATGCCTCTCCCTTCCCCCTACCTCTTCTATTTAAAGACTTTCCACCGCCTAAATCCTTTCCTAAAAAATAATTTTCAAATAAATTCAAATCCCATAGACCCCACCCATAGGCGGCAAGCTAGTTTAGGCAAGGGAGGAGGCAGTTTTGAGCCTCCTTCTGTAAACAATTGCCGGCCCAGGAGGGGACGGCTGAGGCGGTTCAAAAGTAACCGCCTCAATAGGCGGTTCCAGTGGAACCGCCATATCACTTATCTATCACATAACAAATCCGATGCATTCCTCTACTTTAACCATCCAATTTGAATTCTATTAATAATATCTCATCTATTTCACCATCGCTTTGAACAATAGATCTAAGATATCTGAAATGTGTACTTTTATTAATGACTTGATTGCTTAATCACAATCTCCCTACCATATCTATTACTACTAAAATTACACTCCATGGATTCGGTTTTAGATCTACTTAAACAAAATCCTTTAGACTCTAAAGTTGACTTCCATAATTCAAGTTTTCCTTAAACTCCCTCACAAAAAAAAAAAAAAAAGTACAGATACTCCTTTCTCGCTGTTTATGCCATCAGCCATAACCTGTAGCAAGAATACTCATCTATTTAATCCATTGTTCTTTTCCATATTGGAATATCATCCACCTTGTCCCACTTTTGTTATCCATGTCGTAATTATGTTTCTTCCCGTTTCAAGCAAGAGATGATGAGTAATAATAGGCCTACTAAATTGCAAACATGACAAAGGAGATTAATGATTAACAGGCATCAAAATCGGGCGCCAGATACTTTATTTGACATATTTTTCCAAAATTGAAGTTTTTCATATATTTATGCAACTCTGATATGATTTCTTACTATTAAACTGCCATGTTTTTGGCAAAGGCTGATGATGCCAGAAAAGAAGTAAACTCCTGGGTTCAAAACAGAACTGGTGGCCTTATCAAAGAGCTTCTTCCATCTAGATCTGTAGATGAAACGACTAGGCTTGTCCTTGGCAATGCACTGTATTTCAAAGGAGCCTGGGATGAAAGGTTTAATGCTTCTCAAACCAAAGACTCCGAGTTTTATCTACTTGATGGAAGCACTATTCAAGCTCCTTTCATGTCTACCAAAGAGAGGCAGTATCTCTCTTCTTACAATGATTTTAAAGTCCTCGGGATACCTTATGAGCAAGGTGAGGATGAGAGACGGTTCTCTATGTATATCTTCCTTCCAGATGCTCGCGACGGCCTTCGCAATCTGGCAGAAAAACTGAGTTCTGAATCAGAGTTCTTGAACCACCATATTCCTTTGGAGAAGGTTAACGTTGGGAAATTCAAAATTCCAAAATTCAAAATTTCATTCGGTTTCGAGGCGTCCGGACTTCTTAAAACCTTGGGCTTGACCTCACCATTTGGTCAAGATGCCGATCTAACTGAAATGGTGGATTCTGCTGTGGGAGGAAAGCTTTATGTCTCTTCAATTCATCACAAATTCTTTGTAGAGGTGAATGAGGAAGGAACTGTAGCAGCTGCTGCTACTGCTGCTGTAGTTTCGCGAAGGAGTAGAAGGCGAGTTGAGCCCCTGGACTTCGTCGCTGATCACCCATTTCTTTTCGTGATCAGAGAAGACGAGAGTGGAGTTGTCCTCTTCATTGGGCATCTGTTGAATCCTCGAACTGCAGTGTAAATACATGAGGGCCCATGCATTATACCCTCTCCCAGGTAAGTTTTTTGTTGAACTAATTATTGCGTTTACTTTTGAAAATTTTAGCTTTATGTAAGTGAAGCACTTTAAATAGTTTGAAATGATCAAAGTCCTTGAGTTAAAAGTATTGCCTGTTATGCTTTAATGGATTGAAATTGCAGCTTCTTATTTTTCAACCTTTTTTTTTCTTTGAAGTGTTTTTGCTCTCTCCTTGATTTAAGTGTTTGACTTGGACGGTGGGTGGGTTACACGATGTTTTGTATGGCGATTTTTTCTTTTTGGGAAGGGACATTTAGGTCAATTAAGATAAATTCACACACATCACATATGTAAGACTCGAATTCAAAACCTCTTGATTGATTGATAGCTAAAACTTCTTATCAACAGAGTAAGATGAGTTGTGTTTGTACTGTATGGAGATGCTAGTTGCAGATGATGATCACCCTTTATGTGCTTGTGTCTATGCTCTAGGGCCCACAAGTGGTCATGCAATGCAGGTAGGTCTTGATTTGGAGAGATTATTACATGTGGAGTCCGAACAGAGAAAACTGTGAATAGTAAAAGCACAATTTTTATTCGAAACTACGCTTTTACTGTTCACAACTGCGTTTTTATAGTTTGCAATCACAAAATCGAACTGTTCTATGTCCGGACTCTGCTCGTAATAATCTCTCCTTGATTTGAGCATAATAAAGTACAAAATAGTCATTAAATTTGTTAGAATACAGGCAATGAGTTTAGATCAAACATTGAAATGAACAGGAAAAAAATTCATAAAATTGTCATCACATAATTGAATTAAGGTAATAATGGTTGATAGCTCTCAGAAGGCTTAAGGAAATTATGCTAACTTAGCTTAGTTTTCATTGGGATGAGGAATTTGATTGATTAATTTAGAGGCTGTTTGGGATTTTTTTTTTTTTTTTGTTTATAATTAAGTATGAAATAATAATATATTATATATTTTAAAAAATATTATTTTATTGCTGCTGTCAATAGTGGTGATTAGTGGCTTGTGGTGTAGGATCAGGTTGGTTTTTATTTAAAAAATAATAAAAAACAAATAAAATTCTTTAAAAAAGCATTTGATATCTAACCATCAAATGAAAATATATACTATTTTATAACTCATTTTAAATTAATGAAACATAGCAGAAGGAAGGTCAACCCGACCTGACTCGCTTCAATTTGATTTTTTTGAGTTCTTGCACGGGACGGGCTGCGCGGGCCGCGCGGCAACCGTGCGATGGCAGTCGGTAGGCCGGCAGCGTGTAGCGGCGGCGATGCCGGTGAGGCAGCGATGCGTGACACGAGCGACGTGTGTGGGGCAGGCAGGCAGCCCGGGTAGGCGGGGTCGCGGTCGGGCAGATTCGGGCAGGGCCATTTTCTGGGTCATTCTCGGGTTTCCGGGTCAACTCGAACCCGACCCGGTTTTGCAAACGGGTCGGTTTTCTGAACCCAAACCCAACCCGCTTCGGATTTGGGTCAACTCAAGCCCAAAATTTTCGTATAAGGTCCAATATTGACGAGTCTAATCTCCGAACAACATTGGGCAGGGCATCCACACAGGATAATTTCTCCAGCTGCGGTATCTCATATCACGTGTAACCCATCCATTCCCAACTGTATAATATTCTGTGTAACCATCAAATATTCAATTGGCCTTACTCAACCACCGTAATCTTTCAATAGAGTGAGAATTAATACTGTTTCTTCTTCTCTTTTCCTTTTAATTTTAATTCTCTCTAATGCAGAGCAAATGATTCTTTCATGGGAAAGCGACTTGAATCAATCAAAGATCCGTTAAATTCTCTCTCAACAATATTTTATTTCACTTTTCTTTTATTTCAAATATTTTAAATTCAAATTATTTCTTTTCCATTATATTTAATTTTCCTCAGCAATAACTTTTTTAAGATTTTATTTTTCAAACTATATACTTTTTTATTATATAAAATAACGAAAAATTGACTCCTACAAAACTTAAAAACTTTAATGGGCCTAAACCTTATTTCACAATAGACAAAGATCAGCAAAAAAACTAACTATTTCAATGCCACGATTAAAAAAAGCTATTCAAATTCAAGTCAAATATCACAAACAAGTTCATTTTAATTTATTGAGTAGTCCTATAGCTTTGGAGTTCAACAACACAGCAAGGAAGCCCAACCATCAAACTGCAAATACACAGCTTGCTTTACATATTCACTGATTTCTGTAGATTTAAATACATCAACAAACACTTACTTGCTGTAGAGCAACCACCATTACATGGCATAAACTATCTCCCCACTGCTGTCCACATCAAGCTCTGGATCAGATGCAAAATCATCCATGTCCTCGTCGTCAAGATCGAGGCTACCGGTAAGGTATTGGTTGAGGCCAAGAGTGCCGGCGGCGGGTATAGTTGCTTCTGCTATAATCTGCATTATCTGATCGATGCTCTGCATTGGCTGATCGGGCTCCTCATATTGGTTGCTCATAGTGCTGTCATCCATTAGATCAGCAGGGAGGTTCTTTAGGAACCACTCATGATTGCGAATCTCGGTCATCGTAAATCTCTGCGGAATTCGCAAATTGATTTTAGACTAACAATTGGGAATAGAGGTTGGTTGGATGAAGATTGAAGCTAACATCATCGCTACCATCTAGATCAGTTGTCACCATTAAAGAGAGGGATGAAAATCATTTGTAAAAGATAAAAAAGATGCAATTTCTGATGCCTGGAGTGTGCTGTAACAATTGGAAAATTATTATGTGCGCATGCCGGACGCAAGGGTTGCTGTGCTTTTACTATGCTTTTATTGCGCTTATGATGTATTTTTGTAAAATGGCAGCTAATACACAATTTTAATTGCATATTAACTGCCATTTTGCTGCCCTCATATTGAGTATTTGAAAAGCGCAGCAAAATGGCAGCAAATACTCAATAAGTAAGATATTTGCTACGCTTTTGCTGTATTTTTGCAAATACTCAGGAAAAGGACAGCTAATATGTAATTAAAATTATGCGCCCTTTTGCAAAAATATATCAAAAGCGCAGCAATCCGGACGCAACCTTATGTCCGATGTGCGCACAGAATAATTTGCCGTAACAATTACAACATCTAAAAATTGTAAAAATGGTCAACTTCAGCTGCCTCTGAAAATCAAACTCTGAATGCCTTACAACCCAAATATTTCTACATTCACACCTTACAAGCTAATGAATTTTCATCTGCATATTTCAACGCAAAACCCAGTAACACGTTGAATCGCCCGTTCATTGCGTGATATCATGTTAGTTATGTGAAAGCATTAAACTCTCCAAGCTAAAATTTAAGAAATTCCCTCACTTCATTCATGGCATGAGGTACGTCTTGAACAAGCAAATACAGGCAGCTTGCATCATTTGGATACAACATATTACGAATGAGTTATTATTGCAATGAAAAAAATACAACAATTCCTTCAACTATGTGCAGAGATCTAAGAGAGGCTATTTTTTAAAGAATCATGCTATTGACTATTAGCAAAGTGGTAGAACACAAACAAGCTTATTTTATGGCAAATGCTTCAGAAAAGACTACTTACCATGGCAGGATTGGCTACAAAAATCCTTGATATTAGATGTCTACATTCGGGAGATACATGAACATAGTCTGGAATAGCATATTGAACTCCCAAAATACGCTGCAATCAGGTGATATTGTTAAAAAGTCAGTACAAAGCATAGAACTTCTCGCTATTTTTCATTAAGCCCAAAAGAAAAATAGTTATAGCCCCACCTGTATTGTTTTCCGGAAGTTCTTTGGTTCTTCTGGATCCTCAAAAGGATATGCTCCCACCAGCATTACATAGAGTGTTACTCCACAGGACCATACATCAGCAATCTGTGAGCGTGAGAGCGAAGTGGTTATTTGGTAGAAAAATATAGCAACCGAAATTGACAAGTCTGTATACTGTAAAATGTTTAGGGTTTATTTCCTTCACAAAATGGGAGATTTCACAAAAAACAGATTTCTTGAAAAGGTCAGCCTAATAGGATTTAGTATTAAGAACAGCCAGACAAGACTTGAAATTATAGGCTTAAATAGCCATGAAATCAGCTAGCAGCACATTAGAACTCTCCAAGTCATAGTTTACAGAAGCAATGTGGATTGCAGGATTCTCAATATTCCAAGAAATAATTTTTTAAAAAAGTTTTTAAGTTTATTAATGATATGATTTAGAATGGTTTGAAAATTGGGCCTTCATTATTTCAAATTCGTAGAATTAGATCGAACATTTAGAAAAAGTACAAGAATAAAATTCAGAAACATAAATCTTCATACATCCAAAAAAAAAAACTTTAAGAATCTTAACTTTATAAAGCATGCAAAAATATGAAGTTTTATTTGCATTAACATATTAACTTGATGAATGATAACTAATATAAAATATAAATTTACAGAGATCTTAAATCACCTATCAGGCATCTTCAATCACTTTCTTCTTTTGATGGATGCTTTGGTTTAACATATAGCTAAAATATTTAAGGTTTAACTATGGATATTATAAATAGCTGATGCTTGCTGATATCCATTTAGTTTTCAGCATTGTTTCGTATTTATCCAAGCTATACCCAGTTCATGCATCCTTGTCATGTTGTTTCAAATGTCTTTCAAATGTGATTAATTTCAACGCTATTTTTTAATGAGTGACACAAGAACCTTTATTCTTTTCTCTCATTAATAATGATATCTTGAGATTATTCTCTACACCTAACATTTATAGGGTTTGGTGGCTATGTCATTTATCAATAATTGCACTATATGTGATCAATCCTTTTACTAAGAGACAAAAGTGATGTAAGTATTATGTTTTCCACCTTTTTCAACATGATTAAAACTTAATTTCGTGATGAAATTAAAAGATTTAGATCCAACAATGTTATGGATTACTTTAATCATTCTTTCCTCATACTTAAAAAAAAAGGAATAATATTTGTATCCTCTTAATGTATACACCCCAACAAAATGGCATGCATAAATGAAAGAATGCCCACGGCCCCACACATTGATAACACATGGGCTCCACTTTCAAGAAAATGTCCCAAAACAATATTAAGGGAATGGGATTTTAATAACTACTCACATCATAAACTTATAAACAAAAGTTCTTAGATTCAAGAGTCTTGCATAAGTCCTAAATAAATTATTTTCTCATTTCACTACCTACAATCTTTTTCCCAAACTATTTTAAAATGTCGCATTTGTTCGTGCAGATTCTTAAAAAAGGGGAAAACTTGATCATAAAATAATTAAATGGGTCTTCATTGACTATTCCCCCACACAAAGAGGATACAAATGATCATCCCCCATGAAAAAATGATGTATGTCTCCACTAATATTCTTTTAATGAAAAAGATCACTACTTCATTACTATTTATCCTAAGGAAGAAATACCATTCATGGCAAATGAGTTTTTTTTCTTCTTGATTTCCCTTCCTCATCTCTCATTCCAATAAACAACTTTATTCTAGAACCAGCCACCTCTACCCAACTCGAGTCAATATTTGACCAATTCCTACTTAGCCATTTTAGGTTAAAAAAAAGTGCATCTCAATTTACACAGGTTGAATCAACCAAAATAATCCCTTTCATTGAATTTGCTAATGGAACCATTATGCCTAAAAAAATAAAGGCCAGCAACTTCCACTAAACATCCCTTTACACTTATTTTTACGATAAATTTTTCTCATGATCATCAATCCTTCTTTAATAGCCCGCATGCTATTTCTATTCATAAAATAATCTAAGGATTTAGAAAACATGAATTAGAATAATGTTATAAGGAAATAAATAAATCTTAAAAAAAAATTAAAATATGAGAATTTATAAAGTTATCAAAAGGAAAGAAACCAATGAAATATGGATCAATCATCATTGTAAAATACAAATTTTGATGATGCACTAGAAATGTAAAAAGTAGACTAGTGCCCAAGAATACACTCAAACGTATGAGATTAATTATCTTAAAACATCGGCTCTAGCTGCTAAAATGAACTTTGTAAGAGTTCACTTATCTTAGTTTCAAATATCTTAGCAACTAATAAGGACTTGAAAAAATTACAATTCAATCTGAAAAATATCCTTTTGTATGGTGATCTAGAGGAAGTATTATATGGAAATCACACCTGAATTTGGCTCAAATACAAAACAAATGATATGCAAGCTAAAAAAGACATTCTATGGGGTGAAGCAATCACCAAGGGTGTGGTTCAAAATGTTTGCCAACAAAATATTATGTATGGTATACAAACAAAGTTAATGAGATCATACATTATTTATAAAACAGGACTTCAGGAGTCTTCATAGTCCCAGTTTATGTTAACGATACTATTATGACAAGTATTAAATTGGAAGGAATGAATAATTAAAAGAAAAAATTGCTCTAAGAATTGAAAATCAAAGAATTAGATAAGCTAAAGTACTTTTATGACATCAAAGTTGAACACTCTCCCCATAAAATCTTTATATCATTATAAAGATCTATAATAAACCTATTAAAAAAATGAATCAATTAAGATGCAAATATATTGAGAGCCCCATAAAATTTACGCATAAACTAAAAGATGCTTCAGAAGACATAATAGTTAAAAAAATATCAATGCTGGTAGGAAGACTCATCTACTTATATTGCTGGTGTGGTGAGCCAGGTCATGCAAAATCATAAAAAAATCACACCTTAGAGAAGTATATAAAATTCAACAATATTTGAAGGAAATTTCGACCAAATCAATTCTATTCAAAAAGAGGGGAGAACTTGACTCTTAAAATATATATAGATGCAAAGTAGGTGAGTTTACAGTTGATAGGAGATTAATTTTAGGATATTACACATTCTTAAGAGGCAACTTCATGATTTGGAAAAGTAAAAAAACAATATGCTGTCATAAGATCTAGTGCAAAAGAAAATTTTGGATCAATGGCATTGGGAATTTGTGAACTGCAATGAGCAAAAATTATCCTAAAAGATTTACAGGTTGAATGAAAAGTTCATACAAGGCTCTAATAGGATAAAAATTTCGCTCATCAATATTACACATAATCCCATACAACATGATAGTACAAAACATATTAAAATTGACAAAATATTTTCTAAAGAAGTATCATAATAGTGATCTAATTTGTACTCCATTCATAACCACATATGAACAACTTACTGACGTTCTCACCAAAAGATTATCAAGTGCAGCATTTAGAAATTACTGGGCAACCTTCAAATGGATGACATTTATTCATTCATTTGAGTATAATTTCCACCAGTTGGAACTCACACTCAGTCAAGGGCAAGGGGAACATTCATAATTTCCACCAGTGAGACCCAGACTCAGTAAGACTTCCACCCTCTTTCCTCCCTCTTCCACTTTAGATTCTTGAGAGTGTGCATTTTATAGCTACCAGCAGGAAATGTTGTAGGTGTTACACAAGGATGCTTATTGAACTATTGTTAACTTTAATGAACTAAAATCTCCCTTCAAAAGGAATCCGAATGGATACAATTGAATTCAAGAATTGAATGATTGCACTGCTTTGAATGTTGACCAATTATTACTCATCTGAATGAATTCAATTTGAGAATGACGTTTAAAGAAATTTGGGTGGATTTGTTGTTCCCAATTGGAATATGAACTCCACATGGAATTCAACTAAAAATGTATTTGTAATGACACCTCTTTAAATTGCTTCGGCTGACATGTGAAGGGCTATCTTAATTTGATTACATCAACTAACCACCACATTGGAAATTGAGGCAACTATGTCTACCAAAGGAATACACTAAACTACAGCACAAGCAACAGAAGCAGAAGCATGCAGAGAAAAAATAAAGGGCAAAAGAAGAAGACTTACCTTGCCATCATATTCTTTTTTGAGTAAAACTTCAGGAGCAATATATGCAGGAGTTCCAACAGTAGACTTTGGTTGGGAATGTAAAACTGATGACTGCAAAGGTAATATTGACATGAAAGAGGCATAACATGCATGTTCAAGTAAGCAAAAATGAGCATAAGGATTCAGTTTGTGAATATGCTTTAAATTTAGCATTTTCAAATTGGGATAACTAAAAGATGAATAAAAAAGACCTTTAGATGCCTATTACATAAGTAGGGGCCGTTTGATGTCCTAGGAAATTGATCTATAAAGACTTCTTAGACGTAAATAACACTAATAAGTTTTAAGGTCTTTTTCCAACATCAAAATGTTTTGAATATTTAAATTGGCAAGAAACATCTTTTAACTGAAGGTACAATATGCTGCAAAATGCATGAGAAAATATCCTCAATGATTTATCAAAACTAGCTTCCACTAGTCTTGCAAATCAAAATAAACTAAGACGCTACTGGGCTATGCATACCTTAGAGTAGCCGAAGTCGCATATCTTTAAACGTGGAGCAATACTTCCATCTAACAAGGTGTTCTCAAGCTTTAAATCCCGATGGCATACTTGCTTAACAAGAAGATAAACCAATAGATAACAATCACCCAGGGCATTTGACTAGCTTAAAATAAACAAATAAAAATATAATCAAACATGAATTACCATCGAGTGGCAATAGCTAACTCCAGATATGAGCTGCTGAAAGAAGAAGCGAGCCTGCAAGGATAATATTTTTTGTGCAACATAAGTACAAAGACAGACGAAAGGAAGAGCCATAGAAAAACAGGTAAAATCAAACCTCATCCTCACTGAATCGTCCAGCATTGCAAATACGCTCAAAAAGTTCACCGCCAGAAGCATATTCCATGACAATAGCAAGATGGGTTGGAGTCAAAATAACCTATATGATGGTACCATCAATCCCCAAAATGATCGTAAAGTAAACGGAATTACAGCAATCAAACGTACCTCTTTAAATCTAATAATATTTGGGTGCCTTAAAGATCTGTGATTTATAATCTCCCTCTGGACATTCTCGTCTATCTGCGCAATCAAAAGAAATAACTAAGAAAATGGTACGTGTAATAGTCACTGGAGATACTTGCACACCGTACTAACTATATGTGGAAAAAAACTGCATCTTTTCTCCAGTTCTTTCAAGCAATTCAGTTGTAACAGACTCGATTCTCAAAGAAATAAGCAATTGAACTAAAAGCTCAGAGCAGACAACTTTTATTTTTCTTCATGAGGATGATGAACATAGACAATAAAGGTTTCTGATTCTCATTGAAAACATAATTGGCTATAACTCCGCACATTTATACGTAGAGAAATGCTAATATAGAATAAGAGATAAACACGCAGCTCGCCTTAGTTTATTTGAGGGCTTGGACTACTAATCAAAATATCTTGGATTTGATGCTTGCATTTAAGATGTGTGTGTGAATATGACTTAATGACTAAAATGTCCCAGAATAATAATAACAATAACAATAAGAGATAAACTTAAAACTTTCCAAGTTTGAACGGACAAACAACTAACTTAATGATTGCATTTCGTCTTCTCAACGCTAAAATAATAATAATAATAATAAAAATAAAAATCAAAAAAGCAGAAAGCGATCAATTGCATTGGAGGCCATTAATAAGATGGTTACCAAGACCCCCAAAAAAAGGTTGAACTATTAAATTCAAATTTAAAAAAATGCAATCCTATAATTTAGCGCATAAATACAGATAAACTTCGACTACTTTCTTCTGGACATTAACTTCCCATAACTTCATTTGAAATTCGACTTTTTCTTCGGACAGACAAAACACATCAAATATATGAAGTGAGAAACAAGCGTCAAAAGTAGAACTCAATGACGACAAGGTTGATTGAATCTAACGCAAACTTAATAAAGCCCGAGAAACAAAAATCCAGCAATAAGCAACAAAAGCGATTCAGTTGCTGAAACCAATAACTAATCAACCTTTTCCCCCCTCTCTATGTATTTGACAGCCACCAGTTCCTTAGTTTGCTTATCCCGCATCAGCCGCGCAATCCCGAAGTTGCCGGCCCCGATATCCTTCACCAGCTCGTACCTGTCACTGTCGTGCATTATCGGCATGTCCATCGCCGGTCCGACGGTCATTGCCACCCGATCCATCTTCACCTTCTCCCTCTTCCTCTTCTTAGGACATCAACTCCCAACACTATGAAGCACTCAATCCTGATCACCTTGACACACAGGTATCACGCAGCCTTCTTCAACGTGGCACAAGGTCGCCCTCCCAATGCTCAATCGACCTTCCTCACGTTCCGGAGAAGGAAAGAGACGGGAACAAATTAAACCCGTGACATCGCTTCAGCGAGAGAGCGGTAATCAAATCAAGAGAGAAGCAATTACGTACGGTATCTACTCTCTCTCTCTCCTCTAGTTTAAAGGATAAGGTTAGGGTTTCAGATTTAGAAAGTTACAGAGACGAAGGAAGAGCTTGAGAGAGAGGTAGCTCGTGACCTCACTTTTACTTTGGCTGCGAGAGGAGAGGAGAGTGATAGGTGAGCCGACGAATTAATTATCTCCACCACAAAATGCATATATATATAGACTAAAAAAAAGCAATCAAATTACGAATCTACCCCTACCTGTTTCGGCAATCGTCTGGTCTACTTAATTTATCAACTTGGCGTGTAAATTTTTTTTAATTAAATTATTTTTCGAGTTTTTAATTAAATATTAATTATTATTTCATTTAATTATAATGTTTTATTATGACTTTATGAGTGTGCATTGTATAGGATTTTTCTATAGGAGGCCAGGGGGGTTCGCATCGCGATGAGAAGAAATAATTTTACAATGGGAGGAGTCACATATAAGATTGATAACATCTTGAGAGAATATGGCATGTAATAATTTTAATTTTGAATAATACGAATTTTTTTTTTTTTTTTTTCAGAAAGTTGTATGGAGTGCTACGGTGTTGTACTTTCGAGCGCAGCGGCGTTGAGAAGCACGAAAGAGTGGTGTCTCGGCGCCATAACTTTTTGTTCTACAATAATTGCTTTCCTCATGATTTGATCAATACTGATTTATGTGGTCTCTTTAATATTGAGATAGTACTGCTACGATGTATGATTTAAAAATAATCATTTACTACTTTAATGCTTTGACATTTGTACTATATTGTTTTGTTTTTACTGGCCTATGTACCGTGCCGGTTAATGGTTTACATGATTTTACTGTTATTGCATGTGTTTTAATATTTTTGGATATTCATGATCATATTGTCTGTGATAGCTATGAATTGATTTATTACATGCATATTGTTTCTTGTCGTACTTTGAATTCAGTAATAGGATTTTGATGACCTGTTGGGTTTTTTAAATTCATTATATATGATTAAATGATTTCAGTTAAGAAAAAGAATTAAGAGTGTGAGACCGATCAGATATTAAATTCTTCAGATTTTACTTTTGTTTCATCTTTTAGTTATTCTTTTGTAATTAGGAGTGGGCAGAAAGTATATTATATTTATATGACTCCTAACTATTATATATGATTTTTAAAATAATTAATATTTATTTATATTAATATTTTGATCAATAGATTTTTTTTCCCGGTATTTTATTAATTGAAGAAATTATATAGCGAGTTGTTATTATTAAAAAATGAAAATGCAATTTTTTTTTTTTAAATTTAGATTATAGGTGTAATAAGGCATGTGAGGAGAAGATGAGCCTTACTGCGGATGAGATATAGAGACATGTGATGGAAAGGTTCAAATCAATTTTGAACTGCGTAGTTCAAGAAATGTTTGAATTTGAACAAATTATAATCATCAAAATCATTTTGCGTATACCAAAGAAGGGCAATTTGGTCCAAAATAAACTTTCAGGCATGCTTCTCTGATTACACCCAAATAATGCATATATAGTCAAATTTCCCTTTTATTAATAAATATTAAGATTTAATTGATATAATATAATTAAAACGTAGATGCTTGTGCCACCGCAATTGCATTGCCCCTAATGCCAATTTGAGGTCATGGGGTCGATGTCCCAAAATTATACAAAAGCATGAGCTTTTTAAGTAGGGGTGCAATCAAGTCAAGCCGGCTCGAGCTCATGAGTCGAACTCATTGAGTTTTGAGCTCGAGCTCGAGCATAATTTTTAGCTCGAGTTCGATCCTCATCGTGCTCAGCTCGATTACTTACCGAGCAGCTCGATGAAAAGCGAAAGGCAAAGAGCGGAAGGCTGAAATGTGGGTATGTGCTAATGCGGAAGACGAAGCAAGCATCTGCACTTGCAAAACCAGGATTTGTGTGCAGAAGACAAAGCGTGCATCTGCATGCGCGAAGCGGGTAGATCAGGCAAAATCAGGTGGCTGGCGCTCAAAACTTGAAGTGCGCATCTATGCATGTGAAGCAGGTGAATACTCACTTACGGTGGCACGAGCTAAGCTCGAGCTAGACTCGAGTTTTAGCTCGAATTCTAGCTCTTGAGTCGAGCTCGAGTTAAGTCTTACTCGAGCTCGACTTAAGCTATTTTGCACCCCTAGCTCTATGTGCAAGTTTGTGCAACCACATATTTTTATATGAATTATTACATATCTGGGTTGTTAAAACATATCTCATCTTTTGAGCTCGACTCAAGCTTATTTGGCCATTTTTTTTCAATGCTTTCAAGAAATTTTTGTGCTAGGAAGCTGCTTTTTACAGCAGCTTTAAAAAAAAAAGATGCTTTCTCCACAGCAACTTTGCAATCACCTTTACAAAAAGTTACAACCGTCCCAAACAAATTCTAAGTATTAGATAAAAACATCAAGACTCCACAAATCATGATGTCGCACTCGACCATTGCTATCAACCACCCAACAAGAGTTTGCTTCTTCATTTTCCTCAAAATTATGTTCATTTGGCATTCTATCAATAGCTTCACATTGAAGCTCACATATTATTCAGACAGCCTCTTCATTTCTTCTGTGCAGAAGCTTTTGAGCTGTTTGTCATATTAATTTTCTGCAAGCGACATACGTCATCCAGACTATATAGATATATAAAACTAATTAAGAAGAATGAAGAAGGAAGAATTTAAGACAACAACTTGTTCATACTTATCCAATTTTAGCCTCTTCTTCTACCCACCAAATAGTTTATAAATATGAACTGAAAAAGCCTTTCTTGTTCCTAATTAAATGAAAACCACAAGAGAGAAAGGTCAACTTTATAGCAACCGACCATTTGGTGGTAGCTGAAATTAGTTGTGATAATTATTGCTCATTTCTAGCTTTATTTTAAGGGAAGTAAGTCAATATTGTATGTCATTAATTAGTGTTAATTATGTGTGGTTGTAATTAAGCGATTGTAGTTAGTCAAATAATTTATATGAAATGATGTGTTATCAATGGATTAAGTTCTAATTATTCTATGATTTATATGTTAACTACTTGGCTAATAAATTTTCATAATATGAAAGTTTTGTTGTTTTTGTTGAGTGAGGGATAGGTCATAGGTGATGATCACTTTTGCATAATCAGTCAAAAGAAAAATGGGTTAAGTATATATGGAGAATTATGGAGAAATTATTACGTGTGGAGTCCGAACAAGAAAATCATCCGAATTTGCTGAGAATTTGTTGAGTATTTGTAAATACTTAGCAAATTAATGACCAAATACATAACAAATACTCACAAAATTGGTGCGTGTACTCAGCACATACTCAGTAAATACTCACAACTAAATCCGGACGATTATCTTCATCCGGACTCCGCACGCAATAATTTCTCGAATTATGAGGGTTTAGATGGTTTTGCAATGAAGTTGAAGGGTATGAGTAGAAAGTATTTCATTTACGTAAATAAGAAGTTGCTTGTGATGAAAATGTAAATATATATGAACATCCTACTTGAATTTTGATGTATATATGTCGGCGGTGCTTTGATTTGACCAAAAGAGTTTTAAGAATTTGGCAGCCATTAATTAAGAGGAAGAGTACCTCTAGTAAGGAATTGTGGAGATGAATGATTGATGTGGTGCTCATTTTTAAAAGAGCATTAATATCTTGTTGCATCATACTGGGGAGGATTATTGCAAGTTGATTATCTTCTAGTTTACTTTTATGGCAACTTGGTTTTAAAAAAAGAGGGGGAGGCTCAAGGTCTATAGATGGGTTATGAGCCATCAATAAAGAGGAAAATGAGTGAGAAGACTTTCTACCATTAACAACTTTAATATAATCCTTCATTATTGGTTTGACTTAATTTTTAGCTAGAATTTAACATATTGTTTGTTTATTAAATAAATCTATTTATAAAAAATAATATTTTTATGATCAATAGATTATATATATATGCACCACTAGATAATTTTATCAACATATTTGAAAATATTATTTGTGATTGAGTATTACATATAAAATCATAAATTACCTTGAAAGATAAAAGTATTATTTCAATATGATTTAATGATAAAAATAAGTTTTAACATTTTGAATTTAATTTATGTTTCTAGAGATCTTCTAGCTAATGTATTTCGATCAAGCTGAGTTGTTTCTTTTTTAGGGGTACAGATACTGTATAAAGAAAAGCCCTTAGGATCAAAAACTAATGATTATACGGCCTTTGAGAAAAATCTTGATTAAAATATTGGGTAATATTTTTATGATTTCAAAGATTTTACTCAAAGATTTATTTTAGATTTTTAAGAAGGATAGGATAGAATCAACTTGAAATTAATTTCATAAGAAAGCCAAATGAGAAAAGATAGGAGAACTTGATTCTAAGATGTTCAAAGTACTAAAAACTATCCTTGAATAAGAAATACATTTTAAGATCAAATTTATGTTAGAGTTGGCCAATTTTATTAAGAAGTTTGGGCTTACATTTTAAATGACATAATGTTCAAAGGATACTAAAAAAGTGACAACTTATGATATAACTTTGAAGAAAATCAACCTCTGATTCAAAATTTATGAAGAGAACCATCAACAAGATCAATTGATATGTCACCAAAAATTGCTTGATCAGGCATGAATCTTAAAACATATAGGAAATCAGTATGTGTTGTTCGATGGAACACTCCGAAATTATCATTGATCTTTTTCATATTTACGAAGCATGTTACTCTCAAAATGTATAAATAAGCCCCCACTCTCTATATAAGGGGAAACCTTTGAAAGTTTGGACCTTGGGCTAGAGATCAAGAAATCTATAAGGTTTGAAGAATCCTGGAGCTCCACCTCGACACCACCTCTGGAGAAACATAGCCATTCGGCCACCATTGTTGAACCTCCGCCCAACCATCGTCACTGGACCTCTATCCAATCACCACTGTCGGTCTCCCGACGAGTAACCTCGCACGACTATAATCCCTTCGACCACCATCACCTGCCGACTATATTCCCTCCGACCTCCATCACCTACCGATCGACTTCGGTCCCTCCAACCACCGTCGCCCGCTGGCAACGATCATACCGACCACCGTCACTCACCAACTATTGCCCCTCTAACTAAGATCTCCTATTGACTACGATTCCTTTGACATCCATTGCCCATTGACTATGGTCCTTCCAACCACTG